TCCCGGGCCGCGGCCAAGCGACTCTGAACCGGCTAGGCCCCACGACGTGCCTATTCGGCCGCGCCCCGGAACTTCGCCCGGGCGGGTCGATAGACCGGAGGAAATGTCGCCCTTGCAAAGCTGGCCCGTGAGTAAACGACATTTGGAAACGCGCAATGCTCGGTCTCCGGAGAAGGTTGAGTCGCGACCGGTTGAGTCTCGACCGGTTGAGTCGCGACCGGCTGAACCCAAGCCGCCGTTGGCAAGACGGGCCAGCTCGAGTCGACAAGTGCCGACGGAAGACGAGCGATCAATCCGGAATTTGAGGGATAGCGGCCGCCCTAGCAACAGCCACGAGATGTACCAGGACGGCCCGTACCGGTACCGGGACGACCGGTATCGCTGCCCGGACGGCCCAAATCGACACCGGTACCCAGACGGTGCGGAACGAGAGAGGTACCGCGACGGTCCAGATCGGTACCGATACGTGGACGGGCCGGACTGTTATCGGGATGGCTCGGATAGGCCACGAGAAAATCCCGAAAGGCCTCGGGAAGGTTCCGATAGGCCTCGGGAAGGTTCCGATAGGCCGCCGGAAGGTTTGGACAGGCCTCGAGAAGGTTCGGATGTATACCCGAATAAGTTCAACCCGAGTAGATTTAACAGTGGGCCGGAAAAATTCCACAATGACCCGGACAAATTCAACGGTGGACCGGAAATGTTCAACGGTGGACCGGAAAGGTTCCAGAACGGCCCGGAAAGGTTCCAGAACGGCCCGGAAAGGTTCCAGAACGGGCCGGAAAGGTTCCAGAACGGGCTGGAAAGGTTCCAGAACGGGCCGGAAAGGTTCCAGAACGGGCCGGAAAGGTTCCAGAACGGGCCGGAAAGGTTCCAGAACGGGCCGGATAGGTGTTCAGAGCCTCGCAGTTCGTACCTGGGTCGGAGCAGCGTGGCCGTGCACGGGGTCTCGCGGGTCGGGGCAGTTGTACGGCGCGACTCCGAGGACCGTTTGGACCGGGTCGTGGACCGGCGGTCACGAACAAAGTTCGGATATGTGCGCTACGGCGGTGTCCGGGCTCGTACGCAATTGCTGGTCGAACTGGATTTGCTGCGCGAAGCGGTCTATAAGAGCTCGGATGAGGGAGCCGCCGAAGACCTTCTCCTCTCCATGGTTGGCGACGTCCACGACATGCTTGTCGAACTCAAAATACAACAGGCTGCCCCCTAGACCCAACAGGGTCCACCATCAGGGTCCTGTCCAGTACCAGGGCCGGGGTCCAGTCCAGCAGCAGGGTCGAGGTCCAGTCCAGCAGCAGGGCCGGGGTCCAGTCCAGCAGCAGGGTCGAGGTCCAGTCCAGCAGCAGGGTCGGGGTTGAGTCCAGCACCGGGGCCGAGGTCCAGTCCAGCACCGGGGTCGAGGTCCAGTCCAGCACCGAGCTGGCCGGACGCAAGAGGGTCGGGCTACAAGCCGGTCGGGCGGGTTACGGGCCAGCGGTGCGGTCGAAACGGTTAATGAGGTGGGTTAATTTTTGGACGCGGACATTTGAAAAATAATGGCGTTGGGTGTACCTACCGTGAAGGCGACCCCGGAGCCGGCAGTCTTGGACAAGAAGGCGTCTGTTTCTCCGCACATATCATGTGAGCCTGGTGACTTTGGCGAGACGGTTTTGATGCCGGGTGACCCGTTGCGCGCGAAGTTAATAGCTGAGACGTATTTGGAGAAAGCGGTGTTAGTGAACAACGTCCGAGGTGTCCAGGGTTATACGGGTTACTACAAGGGTAAGCGCATTAGCGTGATGGCGAGTGGTATGGGCATGCCGTCGATCGGGATTTATAGCTACGAGTTGTTCACAATGTTCGGCGTTAAACAAATCATTCGAGTGGGTTCGGCGGGTTCTATCAGTGACGATATGAAGCTATACGACATCGTCATCGGTCAGGCTACCTGTACGGACAGTGGTTACGTGGAACAGTACAAGCTCCCCGGTCGGTTTTGCCCTATTGGCGATTTCGGCCTGATTCAAGAAGCCGTCAAGGTCTGTGAAAACAGCCAAGTCCGCTACAAAGTCGGCAATCTCTTCTCCTCGGATCGCTTCTACGACGACTCCCAATCCACTCTCGAGTGGGAAAAGATGGGCGTCCTCGCCGTTGAAATGGAAGCCGCCGCACTGTACTGCAACGCCGCCCGTACTGGGCGTAAGGCGCTATGCATCTGCACCATCTCCGACGAGATCAAAACCGGCGCCAAAACCACTAGTGACGAACGTCAAAACGCGTTCCACGCCATGATGCAAATCGCACTTGACATCGCCGCCAACACCACCGCCTAGGGAGTACAGTACTGAAGCAACAAGGTCAGTGCCGGATCGGCACACGTTTTTGCGTCCCATTTTTAACCTTGAGTAATTTGGATCTAGCCGGCATGGTGCTGGAACTGGTCTACCGGCAGACGGATGCCGCGGCGGAAGTGGCGAAGGGCGGGAGTGCGCAACGCGGCATGGCAAGCTCCAAAACGGTCGCGGTGACCGCCGACACAGTGTTCGGCGCAGACACGGTGGACACCGTTACCGAAAGCGTCTTTGGTCTGGGAGGGGAGCCTGGATCTGAGCGACCGGCGGTGGTGGCTGGGCAGGACATCCCGGCGGGAACCTGCATTTTCAGTGAACGGCCGCTGGTCGAGTTTTGCCGCGACCAACGCTGCGCCTCCTGCCACGGACCCACTGATGGCAGCGTCCTGCTTCTGCACCGGCGACCCAAGCAGTGCACGGAGTGCAACATGTTGGTGTACTGCTCCAAAAAATGCAAGCTCACACACCAACCTAGTCACGCCCCTTTAGTAAGCACACACATACGGGCGAGAAGTGCAGTCTCAGTCACCCGTGCAGTCACTGGGTGGAGCGTTGTTGTTTGTCGTAGTGTGCTGCGTATAAGAGAGCCGCGACGTACCACCGGAGATTGAACCAGGAGCAGCAGGAGTACGCTTTGTTGACTGCGGCGTGCATTAAGCTCATCACCACAGCCACCGATGTGGACAACCGCTGCGGACTCCATGTCTTGTTGAACGAGAGAAGGCCTGGACGCGTCCCGGATAAGTTTCTGTTTGATAACCAGATTATCTCCGCCTTGCGCTCCGGTGACCCCGCGCCGATCACTATTCGGGGCTGGTCAACGTTCGACCTGAGGTCGGCGGACACGCCCCCCACTCCTCCACAAGATCTTCTCTGGTTGCCCATACAAGAAACGTTGAACGGCTGGACCCCTGACTCTCTCGAGGCCGTAGTCGGAATTTGCGACACCATTGTAACTTGGACATGCATTTGCGACCAGCCGTGGCGCTGCACAATGGATGAGAAGATTGCGGTCTGCAGGCAGGTGCTGCGTGCGCTCCAGTCTCACTGCCTCGCCTTGAAGCTCCGACCAAACATCGACCCAACTATTTATACAGCAGTCCAAGAACTGCCCCCGGAAATGGAAGATAAACGCCTGGACGCCGTCTTGCAGCTGGACCGACGTCGAAGCGGCAGCATAGATAGCTCTTGCCCTGACCTGCCGACTCCCCCTTGTGATATTCGATCTCTATTTCCCAAGCTTTCCCTCGTCGCACACGCGTGTGCGCCCAATTGCTATTTGTATGTCAAAGGTCAAATTGGTTATCTAACGGCTCTCCGCGACCTCCGGGTGGACGAGGAAGTGACTGTGGCCAAGGTGTCGCCCCTACTGCCTAAGGAGGACCGTCAGAACCTGCTGAAGCACCGGTTCAGCGTCCAATGTTCTTGTCGCCGCTGCGCAGGGCCGTTGGAGTTGGAAGACGTGCATTCAGTTGCGCGGGATCTGGCCGGGATTATACCTGATAGTGCCCTGATAAATTCCATATACGAGAACCAGAACGCTTACTGCTTTATTGATGAGGGTTTAAGACAAACGGTCTCGTCAGGCCCGCCAGAGACAGGAGGGTACACGGCGTCCCGCAGCTTCCCAAACGCCAATCCCAACTACGGCCTAATCGACCACTCGAAGCTGACGCCGGCCGGCTGGCTGGAAGAAGGCGACACTCGTCCCTCTACTCGACCTTCTACCAGACCCTCGACTGCCCAGTCAGGCGCTATGCACCGGGCATCAGTCCAGCCTTTGAATGAGCAGATGGTGCAGCAAATCGGCGCGGTGAAGGCCTTAGTGAACGAGGTGGAATTCCAGGCCTCGGCGCGATCGTTCGACGTGGTATGCGTGGCGTCTGAGCGCGCACTGGAGCCGAGTTTGCATCCGTTGAACCTCCATCTCTATGACCTGCGTCGGCGTCTGACGGATTGGAAGCACTTGGCGAAACAGCTCGTGTTCCTTACCTTTATTTACCGCGACTGCGAAAACCATCTCGAGCGCCTCGAAATTCTGGACCGCTACGGGGAGGCTCTACGCTCGGAATTCAACAGCGAAAAGGGCAAGTTGCGCAACTTAACCGGTTTGCGCTCGGACCGGGTGCCGGCTACGCAGCAGACGCCCCACGACAGCAGCTCCCGGAACGCGAACGTCGTACCCGCCTTCAGTAATCCGCTTGCAGACGTGGACTACATGCTCGCGTACCTGAAAGCGTTGTATACGGAGATTGAGTTCGGCTATTACTGTCTGTTCGGCCGGGATTTTTCGAAAACCAGGGCGGCTGGCCAAATTCTTACGGACCTCAACAAACAACACGCCCGAAGGTCGCGTCCTTAGCCCGACGGTCCACCTCGGTCCTTACGGGCGCAGTCCTAACGGGCACAGTCCTAGCGGGCGACGTGGCCGCGTTAGAGTTGGAAATTCACGTGTGCACCACACACCCTAAGGACATGCATTATGAATGGGTGCCACCACCATCATCACTTGCAGCCGATTGTGACGTGTGAGCCGGCGGCGTCGGGTCGCCGGCGACCAGTGTATGGGCCGCAGCGTGTGTTCAGTGAGGGGCGTGTTCGAATCCGGAAGCCGGCGCCATGTGTGTTCTGTCCGGATAGTCGGCGGGATGCGCAGCGTGAGATGAGCATTGTTCGGTTGGCGCGGTTCGCGCGGGATGGGTTGCAGCAGACGCAGGACCGTATCCAAGCGGGTGTGCGAGAGTTGCCAGACAAGGTCGAGGCGTTGGGTGACCGAATTTTGAACAAGATCACGAACCTGCCGTTAGTCAACCGTTTTACACAGCCGGATGAGGAGGAGGAGGCGCTCGCACTCAGTCGGGAAAGTCTTTCGCAGATTCCAGCCGACCTTCACAACTCGCTTGACTGGGCTAACGCTTACATCCAGGTCCCGCTCAAGAAGAATGTCACACCGCCTGAAAGCCGCGCCTCTAGTCCCGGAGCCTCCAGCCGCCGCTACTCCGGCGAATTCGTCGACGAAACCGCCGCTGCTGCTGATTACGCACTCGGTACGCGCTATGTACCCGAGTACCAAGTCCGCCACGAGATGCAACCCACCGCCGAACAACTTGACGACGACGACGACGGTGACTACGCGGACGACCCGGGCGCGGAATTGGACCAACCTCAACAGGTGCCCCACCGCGCCAACACCTACCAGGTCGGCAACTTCCAGAGCTTCCAGGGACCGGGACCGGCTCAGAGCTTCCAGGGACAGGACAGACCAAAGCCGCTGAACTCCGCGGGCGGCATTGTGCTCTCCCACATCACACGCCGGCAGCCGCAGAACGGCGGGCAGTCCGCGCGCCAGATCCAGTCTGCGCGCGGCCCGCCGATGAACCGCGACCTGTCGCAGCTGCTTAGTCCGGCGGCGCACCCCGCCGGTCCGCAGCCGGGTACTCTGCGCCAACCGGGTACTCAGAGACAGCCCGGTACTCAGAGGCAACCCTCAGTGCAGCGCCAGCCCCCGACCCAGCGCCTACCGGGTACTCAGCGTCTACCGGGTACTCAGCGGCAACCTTCGGCGCAGCGGCCGCCGTCTGTGCAGCCCTCGGCGCGGAATAACCCGCCGCTGCAGTCGAACCCTGTAATGACCA